GCTTCTAGTAACAAGTGCCTTACTAGTAGTAGCAAGAAGCTACTAGGTTGGAGGCCATTTCCCGACACCGAAATCTCGACTGGCCTCTGTGGTCCTCCGAGCTTGTTCCGTCGCCGCACTCGGGCCTCGTTGCGAGTTTTTCCGAAACCCGTCTCTAGGAGCAAGGACGCTACTAGGAACAAGTGCCACGCTAGTAGTAACAGGTGCCTTACTAGTAGTAACAAGAAGCTACTAGTAGCTCCTGGCCTTACTACTAGGAGCAAGAAGCTACTAGGAACAAGTGCATCGCTACTAGGAGCAAGGACGCTACTAGTAGCTCCTGGCATTATTAGTAACAGGAAGCTACTAGGAACAAAGGGTATCGCTACTAGGACCAATCTATTTGTGTCTTTCACTCTTGTCGATTTGTGTCTTCCTCGTTTCTTCCTTTCTTGCGTAGCGAGTTGGTGATGACATCCAAGACCTAACAAGACCTAATATCAACAGTCGAAAGTATCCTCCTAAAGCATTATCCATGTCTTTTCCTTACTTTCTTCGGACAGCCTTTTCTTTTCCTTTTACTTATAGACTTCTTTGACACTTCTTGATTTCTTTTCTTCCTCTCTATATCAGCCTCTGCCTCTCCCTGAGTTCCACGTGCAAAACAAGGTTTGCTAGTAGTGAGTGTTTATCGAATGAAAGTGGAATCAAAGAAGGAAAGAAGAATAGAGTTAAAGATCGTCTCACCAATGTGTATATAACTGTCTATATTATATGTACAATGGCCTCCAACCTACTAGCGATGGCCCCAACCTAATAGCTCCAACCTAATAATAGCAAAGGAACGTGTATATTTCAAAAAGGAATAAGTTAATCAATGTTGAAGAATGCCCTGCTTCGAGTTCCTGGCTTCGAGCTCACGGTCATGGCGCCGCAGCGTAGCCGGAGAGGAGTCGATCTTCTGTGAAGGGCGTATGACAAGGAAACTCTCAAGGACACCTTTTTCAGAAAAAACAACTAGTAGTAACAAGTGCATCGCTAGTAGTAACAAGTGCCTTACTACTAGGAACAAGAAGCTAGTAGAAACAATAAGCTAATAGCTTCTTGCTACTAGTAGTAAGGCACTTGTTACTAAAAGCGATGCACTTGTTCCTAGTAGCTTATTGTTTCTAATTCATTCTTGTTACTACTAGCTTCTTGCTGCTAGTAGTACGGCCGGGAGCCCCAAGTAGCGTCTTTGCTCCTAGTAGTAATGCCAGGAGCCCCTAGTAGCTTCTTGTTTACTAATTACTAGCTTCTTGCTACTAGTAATGGCTCCAACCCTATCTTGGATCCTGAAGGTCCGAAAGGGCTAAATACTAGCTTCTTGTTACTACTAGTAAGGCACTTGTTCCTAGTAGCGTGGCACTTGTTTCTAATAGCTTCTTGTTACTACTAGTAAGGCACTTGTTCCTAGTAGCGTGGCACTTGTTTCTAATAGCTTCTTGTTACTACTAGCTTCCTGTTTTTCAAGTAAAGGTTGTTGATCCTTCTGTTGACCCTTCAAAGTTAAGACTCGGACCGTGGCATCCTTGACGTCTCCAAAGGTCTCGAAAGGCAAAAGAGGTCGATCTTGTTTATGAAACGGACGCCTTGCGGCAATCTGGGCATCAGTACGGTCTACATGTATCGCTGAAATCCTGCCCAAAGCAGCAGGTAGGATACAAAAACGATAGAAAAAGGAAGAAAGAACACAATTGTCTAACGTTCTTTAAAAGGGTCTGAAGGTCTGAAGAAACAAGAAACAGGAAAAGAAGAAAGACATGATTATATTTAAAAAACAAAGCATTCTTGTAAGTAGTAGAAAAGTGTTCTCGCCATGCTGCCCTGTGCCCCTGTGTGGGCCTGTAGCGTGCAGGTGGCGACCAATAGTCATGCCATGCGACGATCTCTCCACTGAGCAAATCTTTCATGGAGCCACCGGGACTGTGACGCTCAGGCAACATCACCGGTGAACCTCCAAGACTTGACAGTGAACTTGGGAAAAGCTTGCATGGTGGTGCTGATCTGGGTGGAGTGTAGTGGGCCTCAGGGATTCGATCCGACATTCTCAACAACTTTATTTCCTCTAGTAGCGTCCGATCGTTCCTAGTAGCGATGCCAGGAGCCCCTAGTAGCTTCTTGTTCCGAGTAGTAAGGCCAGGAGCCCCTAGTAGCGTCCTTGCTCCTAGTAGCGATGCCCTTTGCTCCTAGTAGCTTCTTGCTCCTAGCATGGCCAGGAGCCTCTAGTAGCGTCCTTGCTCCGTTCGTAGCGATGCCCTTTGCCACTAGATTCTTCTGAGTTGTTGCATGTTATTGCTTCTTTCAAACACTCTCCGTCTCACGCCGGTGACCGCGATTGTCAATTGGCCCTTTCCACCGCCTCCAAGTGCTTCTTGAAAGATGATCCAACGTGAGCCTCCCAGAAACGCTTCAGCTCCACCATGGATTGCGGCCTGGAGAAATATTCCCGGAGCCCTTGTGGTCGAGAATCGTTGACGTTGATGCCGCAGTTGAAGCGTTGATTCCACCTGAGTCATGGCTGCTGTTAGTTTTGGTCATGTGCTCTGCGTCAGCTTCTGTTGCGTTCTTTCACGGAAAGCCACTGGAAGGAGAGTTCCTTCACTACCTTTACTAATTACCTTCACTCTGCTGCTCACTCTGGATTCCAATGCGTCATAAACTACCAAACGTCCATGCTAGGAACAAGCGAAGGACATCAATTGGAACTTCTAAACGGGAGCAAGACACCTGAAAGTGATGCACTTGACTACCCTATCAGGTTGGCGGCCATCGCTACTAGGAGCAAAGGGCGTCGCTACTAGGAGCAAGGACGCTACTAGGGGCTCCTGGCCTTACTACTAGGAACAAGAAGCTAGTAGTAGCAAGAATGAATT